AGAGAGAGAGAGAGAGGCAGAGGGAGAAGCAGGCTCCCAAGGAGCAGGGAGCCCGATGCGGGACTCGATCCCAGGACCCTGAGACCATGACCTGAGCTGAAGGCAGACACTTAACCATCTGAGCCACCCAGGCGCCCCATCATTACATTTTATTTAGACTTTGACTCACTGCAGCTATGCCTCCCATATATTTCTTATGCTTTGTTTTATTTTTTTGCCCCTCTAATTGTTTCATATTCTTTACTATTTTGGAACTAATCCTTTAGTTCCTGGTGTCCTGGATACATACCCATACACTAACCTTAGATTTATTTTTATTTTTCCTATCAAACCTACAGGTGTTCCTTGATTGCCCACCATGTACGTGGTCCTATGCCAAATCATCTTTTATCAGCTCACTGAATTATAAATATCTTGCAAGAACAACCTAATTGTTATCATTTACATGACAGTCTTTGTACTTGTCCGATTAAATTATTATATGGCCCATGGGTTGCTCACAAGGTTTAATTTTCTTTTTTGTACTAAATATGGCTATCTTGAATCAAAGCCCAAAACAGAGAGTCAAAGTTGGACCATTCGGCTTTGTTCATCAGCACGGATAGTTTGCATTTACTAAAACTTCCCCTTAGCCTTCAGGAAAACAATGACTTCCTCCACAATTTAATATAAATTTGCCATCTGAGAGAGATTCAGTTTAGAGGTAAATTACTTAAGAACCAGGTTTTCCTACTGTGAATTGGTATAGTGTGAGAACTGGCCAGTGCCTATCTCAAGTTTTGTGTCTCTACATTGTTTCTGTTATAAAATAAATTATGCCACTAACCACAGGGCCCGGAATACAGGGGTTTAAGGACTTATTCTCTCATAAGAAATGTGGGCAATCTAGACCCATATGATAGCTCCATGATGTCGTGAGGAAGCCAAGACTCTTCTCTGTCTCTCTTCTTTGCCCTCCTAATATTTGGTTTTCATTATCCAGGTCAAAGATAGTTTTTTGAAATTCTACTGTCACATGCTCATTTCAGGCAGGAAGAAGAAGATGGAAAAGGCAAAAAGTGCATATGGCAGCTATCTGATACTTAAGGAGTCTTTCTGGAAATTCTGTTCTTATGTCTCACTGACCACTGGCTTGGAAATGTAGTCATTTAGCTAGCATATTCCCACCCAGGATGCGATTATAGTTCTGTTCCCAGTAAGAATGGAAACTGGGTGGGAAGCCAGTAGTTTCTGCCACAGATGTGTAAAGAGGAGATTGACTAAGATAGCGAAGGGTCTAGAAATTATGTGTGAGAAAAGCTTAAAGTAACTGGGGAGCTTATCTCAGGTAAGAGAAGATGATTGGTAATATGCAATAGCACTGTTTGTTCTTCCAAGATATTCCATGTAAAAGAAGGTTTAGACTTGTTTTATGAGACAGAATTAAAAGTAATGGTAAGGTAGAGAGTTTAGAGGGTAAGTTTTTTGTGGAATATTGCTAAGGACTTTCTCACAATAGAACTTGTCTAAAATGGGGTAGGTTGTTTTCAGAACACCAGAGGGTTCCACATTTTCTTATCATAAGGAAGGATTATATGCTAAATTCTTTGGAGGAGATTACCTCATTATATTTATTTCTGGACTATGGCCAAGTGTACATTTTCGTTACTATCTAAGATCTCTGAATTCCGGGAGAATTACTTCAGTCAAACTATGGGGAAAAAAAGAAACGTTGTTTGTTTTTTTTCTCAATGCAGATTTTGGAATTACAGATGCAAAGTATAATGGAAAAGAAAATGAAAATCAAGAGAAGTATTGCAAAGTACTGCAAGGAAAACCCATCATTAATAAATTTCCTCTGCAAAAACTGCAGTGTGCTAGCCTGCTCTGGAGAAGATATCCACGTTATTGAGAAGATGCACCACGTCAACATGACACCAGTATTCAAGTAAGTCCAGGAAGACTCAATTTTAAGTTTCTTTATAGGAGGTGAAGTAGCTTGTATTGTGAATGTTCTTTGAAAATAGTACAAATGAGACTCATCATTTGTCAGAACTTCCCCTCCTTTAGCCCCCACATCATATCGCCATTTCAAGTGTCATTTTTTTTTTTCAAATACTGCACGGGGGCAGGGAGGGAGAAGTGTTAAAACCCAAAGCCATTTTGATCCAAGGCACGTTAGTTTGGTGTGTACTCATATGTGCTCTCAGAGTTTTGGACAACTTAAGTCTCATTAAAATAATAGGCAGACTTGGAAGAAGCCACCAAAGGCAACATGACCCTTGGGAGGTGTGTGTGGAAAGGGGGCATCTGCCTGATGATCCGCAGGGGTGAAAGGAGAGAAGGAATAAGATGTGGGATGGGCACGCCTACAGATGAGCGTCAGATCCAACAGCATATACCCATAGGCTGCATATTTGTCCATTGCAAATTCTCAGAGATTTTTTTTTTTTTACTTCTTGATAATTTTAGGGAACTCTACATTGTGAGAGAAAACAAAGCACTACGAAAGAAATTTGTAGACTATCAAACAAATGGCGAGATTATCTGCAAAAAATGTGGCCAAGTGAGTAAATTGCTGTGTGCTTATTTTCACTTTGGCCAAAAGGAATCCTTAATTGAATGTGCATTTAATTTTTCCTCTCACTCCCTTCTGTTTTTCAGGCTTGGGGGACGATGATGGTGCACAAAGGCTTAGATTTGCCTTGTCTCAAAATAAAGAATTTTGTAGTGGTTTTCAAAAATAATACGCCAAAGAAACAATACAAAAAGTGGGTAGAATTACCTATCACATTTCCCGATCTTGACTATTCACAATATTGTTTGTGTAGTGATGAAGATTGACATTTGATTTGAGAACCTTTAAAAATATTATCAACTTAACATTTAATATGATACTGATATAACATTTTTACTATACTCCAGAACTGATGTGAGGATTAATAAAATCATTGCTTTACTCTCTGTTGAGCTGCATGGAGGAAGATAATATAATATGCTTTCAAGAATCAATCTTGTTGGTGGGCAGGGATAAAGAATACTCACCAATAATAATTAGTGTGGAGCATTACAGTATGTGGAAAGAATGCTGGAGTATAAATGAGGATCCAAGGTATCGCTATCAGTCCTGTCACCAATCTTCAAAATAAAATTAACCAAATCAGTTCATCTTTTTGAACCAGTGTCCTTATTGGTGAAATGGTTGTATTATTATTTGCCTTGGCTTTCATTAGTTTTCTATTGCTACACAACAAATTACCACAAACTCAGTGGCTTAAAACAACAGCCCTTTATTATTACACATGTTCTGTAGGTCAGAGGCCTGGACGGGGGCCTCTGCACAGGGTCTCAGAAGGCTGAAATCAAGTTGTGGAGCAGGTGATGTTTTCATCTGGATGCACTGGGCCAAGAATGACTTCCAAACTCTCTCAGGCTGTTGGCTGTCATCTCCTTGTAGCTGAAGATGAGGATTCCGGTTTTCTTGCTAGCTGTCCACTGGGGATCACTCTGAGCAACGAGGGCTGTCCTCACCATGTGGCCTGCTCACAGCTGCTTTCTTCTTCAAAACCAGCAGGACAATCTCTCTTTTGTGTGCTAAGAAAATCCTAACTGGAATCACAGGAGTGACTATCTCATTATACTTATAGGTTCTGCCCACACTCAAAGTGAGGGGATTTTGAGGGCATATACGCCAGCAGGCAGAAATCTTGGAGGCCATCTTAGAATTCTGCCTCTCCCACCACTTGTCCAGCTTTTGTGAGTAAGTGATGATATATGTGTACATATGAAACCACTTTGAAAAATATGAAGCACCCTCAAAGGTGAGGTATTATGAAGCAGCAGCATCAGGTAACTCAAGGCTTATTTTTCAGCTTTCCCTCCATGAACATAACACTGTGCTCAAGGAAGATTACCTGTCAGTGGAGATGTCTAGGGCTCACCCAGGATTTAGCAGGGAGCAGATGCTGGATGTTACTAGAGAATAAAGAGAGAGTGTCTACCTCCTCTTGTCCCTAACCCCAGGTAGAAGGGTAACCACTCTGTGACTGTGATATTTTCAGTGTTTCCCAACTAAGTACGACCACGTGGAGACGGACACAGGGCCCAGCCTTCAAGACATTCTCCCAGCAGACAAGTAGCCACTTTTAGCATGAAGACCCACATGACTGACACAGGGCCACAACTGACCATTTTAACCCACACTTATTTGGATGGTCCGCTGCATGGAAAGTGTTACCTCCTACGACTAAGGAGAAACAAAATGTTGGAGGGAGTGAAAAGAAAATTCTTCTGTGGTTTTGATGGATTCATTAACATTCAGTCTAACATTAGCTTTTGTTGATAAGAACCAAACAAAGATGGATATTAACCAATCAGAACTCTTGGGAATGCAAGAGGACAAAAGAAGATTGTGGTTTTCTTAAAATACTTTTTAAAAACTCCAGCTGACTCCATTTAAAGTATTGCTGTCTTCTAGAACATTTTGGAAACTATGCAGGAAACCAAATGCATAAAATAGCTAAATGTACTACTGTAACATATGTAGACTGTTTTTGAGGTGTCAACAAATATCAGGTTTTTTCATCTGTGTTTTCCAGTAATTTCTTTTTCAATAAAGAAGTGTTACTTCTACCTCAAAGTTTTAAAATACGTGTTTCAAATAGTATAAAACTTAACATGTGATGATACCTGAAAGCTCAAACTATGGTGCAGGTAATAATTGCAGCATTTTGATCGAACGTTACTGAACAGTTTAATACTTTGAATATTCGGGGATGATTTACAGAATATGCTCATGACATATAGACATCAACCTGGAGTTCTAAGGTCTAGTTTTCATCCCCACAAAACCTTAAGTTGGCTGGCGCACTTTGGGCAACCTCATCTCACACAGGTCCTGTGTTTCCTCTCTTGGAAAATGAGCAACTGGATTAAGTGGTGTCAAAGATTCCTTACAACTCTGGCATTGCCCTAGTCTATGCTTCTGGCTCCCTGGCTGCTTTCATTTGGAGAACTTGTCTAATGACTTGTGGCAATATCAGCTGTGAGCTAAATACCTGGCAAGCACATTACACATTCGAAGGTAGCTCGTATCTGCTAAAGGGCATTGCAGGGGTCTCACAGGACAGGTATATTGGCTGGAGTCATGCGTTTCAAGGCAGGTTTGAAAAGCCTGGAAGTGTCAGGAAATTTTAGAACAAGAGGCATTTCCAAGCCAGTAGATCATTGGCCAACCTTGTGGATAGAAGACTGTAAAGGTTTTATACCAAAAGTTTGAGATCATTTCAGGCCATATGAAATTAAAATACAATAGTTTACAGTTTATACAAACATCTTGCCTGTAAAGCATTGAGGCAGCACCTAAATGAGTAAGAAGTGGTTTTCCAAAGGACCGTGAGGGCATGTCACAAGCAGATGTTGAAAGCATAAAACACTGTAAGAGAGGTGAATTATGTAGTTATAATTTTAATTAGGTTCTGTCTTTACCTTCAAGAATAATGTGACAATGTTGTTGTACTGAACTGGTCAGCAATGAAAAAGAATGAGAGAGAGAGATTGGGCTGTAGCATGTCAACAGTAATTTTTGTCCAACACAAATGGTGATTTTATTTGTTTCTAAATCCTTAAACCTTTTACTTAGGTCATAGGTTATAAAACAGGAAATACAGATGGAAAGCATTACAGATGTTTTTTGTAATTTTTAGGTATTTTCCACACAGAGTATTACCAAGTTCCTCTTTACATGAAATTAGTCATCCCGTAAGTATCTCATTTGAAGATGAAATTGGATGTGAGCCCTATTTGTTCATAATTTTTAAATCCAAATTAAAGGCCAGATCCTAAATGGGGCCATGGGAAGAGAAACAGACTTTGTAGGAAGTAGTGTTTAACCATGCAGTTGTTAGAATACGTTTGGACCACTATTTAAGTTGAATATATTTGATGAAGCATATTATTTTTTTACATACTAATTTCATAAATGGGCATGATATTGACACAAGAGAAATTTAAGTGTTTAATTTGGTTGTGTATATAAAATAATACTGAACCAAAGATGAGCATTTTTTCAACTTAAGTATTTCCTTCAAACCCTGTCTTCTGCTGTCTCTTATGAATATGCTTGTATTTTATTGTATAAACACATAGGATGAGTGGACTGTTGGATGGTTAGTTCCTTAATTTTGAATCCTTAACAGGCCATAAAATGATCATAATTCATCAAGCTGAAAGGATTTGTATAGTACTAAAAGGACCAAAACAACTGATATAGTGTTATGTTATCTTGGACAAGGTTGCCCACCTGAGATTAATAACAATTCAATACCACACCAATGTTTCCTTTTTTTCTTAGCATTTTACCCAGGTTTATAATTTCATGACTGTACTTCGCACAATTTATGCTAATAATTGTGATAACCTGTTGAGCTCAAAATTGCAACTTTTAAGGGATTTATCTCATTTGACAAGCATATCCCAAATCTTTCTCTAAGAGTGATGTTTCTTGTGTTTAATTAGACTATATGGTTTTTTCTATTGAAAGCTACTAACCTCGTGGAGAAGAAAGATCAGTTAAGGCCCTGAATTTTTTAGTGGACAACTTAGTTCGATGTTTTATTTTTATCACTCATTTATTTTGGGACAAAATGCAAAACTCAAATAACTGCAAGAAACAAACCAAAACATGTCATTCCATGTAGAATGCTGTGTTCCATGCAGGAGAGGAAAAAGAAGATAAAATGAAGGTAAAAAGGGAATAAATAGAAGCCAAATGAAACAGAAGCAAAGAGATTAAAAAGACAGTAACACTATAACACATAGACAAAGAAATAAAAATGAAGAAGGAAAAACAAATTTAACTGAGGGATATTCACACATCTAATAAATGACCAATTATTTCTTTTCTATTCATAAATATTTTTAAGTCCTACTATTTATAGGGTACTGTATTTTAGGCACTAATAATTAAAATAAGGCTCTTGCCCACAGGATTTTTTACTTAATAGTGAGAATCTTTTATTCAATAATGAGTAAAATAAGGATCTTGCTTTTAGGATTCACTTATACAGAGATTAGCCATGTTCATAAATACCAGCAGGGGAGACAATGACCGATGCTATAAGAGAAGGGAAGGAGAGAATTACTTCCAACAGGGATGGGAGACAGAAGATTGCCTTGGATTGTGGCATGTCCAGGAGATTTTTCAAAGTCCTTTTTAGAGTTTTCCCATCTTGGGGGTGGGGGCATTGAGGATGGATAGTATCTAGAGATAAGAAAAAGGAGAACACCTGATAATCCATAAAAGAAAATTTTACCATCAAATATGGTTAGAAAAGGAAGTCATTTTAACTCTGTTTAGAATAAAATATTTTTGCTTAAAGTATATAATAAGTTTGAAATATCTCACAGATAAACATGCCATTTGATTTAAAATATTACTAAGCTTTATTTACCCAAATAATTATAAAATAGTTAAACTAGGTTCACCTCCACTATAAGGGTTTGAGATGGAAATAAACGAGTGAAAAAGGATGCCAGCTTCTGATGTAATCATCATGAGAAAAGGTCAAGACTTCTCTAGATGGAACCAGAGGTGGGAGAAAGAGTGTGAGATGCCTGTGCTCTGGTCACATCCATCCTGGTCAAAAGATGTCTTGAGACTCAATCTTATTGTTCCAACATTCTCCTCAGCAACTGGCCCAGCAAGTCATTCTCTGGCCCAGGGAAGGTCACTACCTTGTAACCATCTGAGGAAAAGAATGCTTAGACAATCATTGTTTGGTCGGGGACAGATGGAAGGATGGATAGTTGGTACCACGTCCATCTTTGTTCACAATATTCAGTGATCAGGGTACTTTTTTAAAAAGGTTTAAAATATGCTTTATAATGAGGGCTCAATTTGACTACACTATGCGATTAGGCTAAGGAAAGTGTCTCCCAAGCAAGTCTGGCAGATAGTCTTCAACAAAGAGTGAGTTTTGGTAAGGAAGGAAATGGATGCAATAAGCATAGATGATCTTTAAATGGGTATTGTGAAAAAGATGAGAAAATTTTGAAAGGGAGTCCAAAGTTTTAAGCCTGTTGACAGGCTAAGGAGCAAGAGCCAAGAAACAGGGAGAGATTCAAGAATCAAAGGGAGAGGGGAGGGCATAACTGTTGCCACAGAAGGC